AGTGGCTGGAAGAAAATGGGCATATTATGAGCGATCCAGACCGAGGGGCCTCACAACTGCAGCTGTTGTGAAGGACATATGCAAGGTCAAAAGAGATAAGGAAGTTGGGGTTTTGAGAAACTGCCTATGTTGCAAAGAGGTAAGGAGGTTGGAATGTAAAAAACAAGATAACAAGACGTAGAAACAGAATGTAGGTATGGCAGAGCAAGGCGCATGAACAAGCAGCTTTAACCTATTAGCAACCAAAACGTAACGCGTGTGCTTTGTGCTAGTGTATAAATTGCTGTGTATCCTTTAATAAAGTGACATTAACTTGATCACATTGATCGTATATGTTGTGTCCAAGACTTCCGCATCAAGGATGTATTTCATTGGCTGACTTTCTCCATTACTGAAGAAGCTGCTGTTCAACATTCCCAGATGCCAGGTCTTTCTTAGAAAGACAGCTCCAGATGAGAGACTGTTATTGTGCTCAGCCCTGTTGGAACTGTAGGATAGAAAGGGAATCTGCTTGGTGAACAACTGAGGGTTGCTGACTGGTTGCTGAAAAGCCTCCAGGTACATTCAGACTTCCAGTAGACTGTGGAGCTGGAGATAACTTAAAAAAAAAAAAGTCATGCTATTTTGCACCCATTACAAGGTGTTCAGAACCCTGTTTGGAGACAGAATGACATAATCTGACATAAAACCAACGGTCTGATTCAAATGTAAAACACACAAGGGAAAATTACTTCTGTCCCTTATTCTTACTGGTAGTCCCTGGAAGTTTAGGCAGGAGCAGCCCAAATCTCCTACAGAGTAGAGACATATAATAGTGCCCAGAGTCTTCCATGTTGCACTGGCTGTAGAGTGCCTACTCTGACACTTCTACACATCTCTGTTTCCCCAAGATAAATTTTAGTCAGTCCAGTATAATCCACCCCTGTCCAACATGTCACTACTGAGTTTGGCACTGGTCAAGTTCCAAGGCTGGCAGTCATGTGGGCTTCCTACACACCATGGAGTCTATAAGCCAAGTGTGAGCACTCCCAACAAACCTGACAAGGAGGGGATTGTGGCGGAACTTGTTTTGGCATGGTTGGCACTTTGTTGGAAAGAAGACTTCCTATCATTACAAAACTTCACTGACACAAGCCTGATGGTGTATGTGAAAGGAGGGGTCAAAGAGGGAGCGAGGGTGAAAGCACAAAAGCAATCTGCAGTCCCTGTGCCACAGTGCCGATGCTGCTACTTGACAAGCCATGAGTTGGAAATACTTATGGTGAAGAGTTTGGATTGCCCTCCAGTGGCCAAATGGGATTTCGGACCCCAGCATAGGTCAAAGGCAATGTCAAGAGAGAAGAAATTTGGAGAAAGAAACAATCAGCAACTTGAAGCAGCCTGTTGTATATTTTACAGGGTGGTGGTATCTGTATCACCATCATGGCAGCATGTCTATTACATATATTTACATTTGCCTTCTTCCTTCTGAATGTTAACTTCCATACCACCACTCTCTTGTGGTCACGCAGACCTTCACGGCTGTCATCAGCTGAGCACGCAGCTGCTGGGACCTTCACTGGCAGACCAGGATGGGACAACAGTGTACATAAGGCCGAGGTCAGCAGTTGGCACTGCATCCAGAGAATCACACACAGCAATCCAAACAGAATCACATACAGCAGAAAAAACAGTCCCCTTAAAAGGCCAAGGCAGATCACCAGTAACAACGTTCATATAACAAAACAATAGAGAACACATCTGAGTTAAATCTGGAGTCAATGGCCCTTCCTCTTCTCTCATCTCTTGACCTTGCTGGCGCTGGTAGGAGGAAATACAGATGCTAATAGAGCAATCCTGTTCTGATTATGTGCCACCATTCATTTTTCCTTCATCTCTAAAAGTAAATGTGGGGCCTCTGTAGGCCAACTTTACTGGGTATAAGAGACACACAAGACAAGTTTGGTGTGCTCAGGGTTTGTTGGTTTTGGTTTGTTTGTTGTTTTTTTTTTTTTTTCTGAGACAACACTTGTTCCACATCCATTTTGGCTGAAGCATCAGCTTTTATCTTTTGCCTAAATATCTGACCCCTCATCATTTTTCTGACTTTTGAACATTATTCCTGAAGGGTATTCCAACACCAAGCTCTTGGCGAGAACAGTGCAAGACAGGGTGGGAAGACTGTGTGAAGGGAAATCAGCTCATGGTGCATCCTGGGTTTATTCAAACTTCCTCGGCAAAACCTTTCTAGAAACCGCCTGCTCTCTTGCCATGCTGCTGCAGGTTTGGTTCGACTGAGTGACTAATAAGCAAGGCAGACAACTCTGTCAGTTGTAGCTCAGAGACCTGAGTGACAGCCGGAGAGATACCTTCTCCTTGGAGGACAGAAAACTGTTTGACACTTGTCCAGCCTATAAATCTTTCCAAATGAAGTTTCTGATGTCTAGGAGTTGATTGCAGTCTAAGGCTCTGGTTTAACAGAGATCTGTCACATAGAGACCATAAATCACAGAAATACAGGGTTGGAAGGGATCTCAGGAGAACATCTTCCCCACCCCACACACAGAGGCAAGATAACTATAGCTTAGCCTCTCCTGGCAGATATATGTCTGATCTGTCCTTAAAAATCTCCAATCACAATAATTAACAAGTCTTTATAGGTATTCTCATCCAGTCCTGAATTTTCTTAATAGTAAATGGCATTAGACCAATTATTTCTGTATCCTTATGGGCACAATTGATCATAGTCTTTCACAGTAATGTTTTAAGTATTGGAAATCTTTCACTCTGTCTCATCTCGGGATGTGTTTTTTCTAGATTAAAAAAAAACAAAAAACAAAAAAACCCACATTACTTCCTTGAACCTTTCCTCATAGGTCATGTTTTCCAAACTTCTCATCATACTTGTTGGTGTCCTCTGGCTCTTCTCCAATTAGTCTCCATCTTTCATCAAGTGCATGGCCCCAAAGCAGACACAATGCTCCAGTAAAGACCTCACCCACACTGAGCAAAGCTGAAAAATTACCTCCTGTGGATTATACAACACATCTGTTATTAAATGCCAGTACAAGATTAGCTGTGGAGTTTTTCTGCTTTCTTTACAACATCCTATAATTAGGTTATTAATTTGAGAATTGTTAGTCTTTACAGATGCATCTGCAGCTTCACCTCCTGTCCTGTACTACCGCTTAAATGTGTTGCTAAATCAAGACATAAATGAGAAGTAAATCCATGGAAAAGAATGGTGTAATTGCAGCAGCAACAATGGTGTAATAAAAGAAGCAAGGAGCAATATCAGGACCAAGTCATAGACTGAGTAATGGTGTACTTGGACTTCAGAGAACTAATATGCCTATAGTGTATTGACTTTGCTTTCGGTAAAAATCTATAGAGTTCTTGGCTATATCCCTAACAGATATTACGTGCATTCGTATTTTCATTTATGAACATCTCCCTCACCTAACCTTATAAGCATCTGTAAAAGCAGGATCCTAAATCTTGCCCCCATCTTGCACAGGCAGGATCTAGATCATGTATTTGTGGATCACTCAAGGGTGTGGATATGCAGACAGTGACAGCAGCCTAAGAAAATAGGCACCAAAGACCTGAAAATATAGTCTCTGGTTTTGACTTACAATGTTTTCATCTCCTAGTCGTACTTAGTGTCAATATACAGAGATTCTGAATGCTGTGAGGTGACTGCCTGAGATGACTCCTGTCCAATTAAATTCTGTAAGAAGTTGCTATCCCTTAACCAGTTAACATTTGCTTATTCCTGTCTTATGAAGTAATATTTGGCTGTCTAGTGGCTCAATAAATATTGTTCTGTAACTGCTTCAATCTCAGTCAGTTTGCTTCAAAATAAGAGTTATATAAATCTTGGTAATGCACAAAGTGAACCCAAAAATATTTGGGTACGTATTTTTATCCATATAAAATATTTTTTGTATGCTACCCAGCAAAAACGCCCACAAGAGACACAGACAGGTCTTTGTAAGGACTGTGTAAACCACATAAGAAAAAAAAAATCCTTTGTCTTTGTTGTTATACTCATATCACTTGTCCCCAAAGAGCAGAAATAAAGTATTGACCTAGGAAAGCCAGAAACATAAGAGGAGTGAATGCATCTAGACTCTTCAGCTAGACCAAGGAGGGAAAAATTTTGTAAATGTGTCCAAGAGGAGGTCACTGGTGACCCTGAATATTTAGACATATGACTCATATATAAAAGGATACTTGAACCATCAAGAAACAAAACATTAATCATCTGTTTCTCTTTACTCTCTCCCTGGCAAAAAAAAAAAAAATAAAAAAAAAAATAAAATTCTTGCAGTGATTTTTTTCCCCCTCATATTTAATTCTTCTATTAATCTACAGTAAAGCACCAGACTTGGACTGGGAGGAATGGATAGCTTTTAGTTTACAGTAGCAGATACTAAAATGGACCCCTGGGTGTTGAAAGAGGGGTATGGAATTCCCTTTGCTGCTTCCCCATTTTCACAAGTGCTGGTGGCCTCTGAGAAACTGAGATTTCATAAACCCAGCACTGGGGAAGAACAGGGGCAGAACAGCTCTCAAGCAGAGAAGGTCCCATAGGAGTAATCATGCCAAGGAAAAAAGCTTGGGACTAAGCTATTTTTAAACTGTTGTCTTCAAAGGCCCCAAGAAAGAGATTTGGGCTCCACACAATGAGCACATAGTTGGCTCAGAGGCATCAAGCCACAGGACTACTGGATTTGAGAGATGCAAAAGATCAGAAGACTGGAAGAGGGCCTCTAGTTTAACAGCATTACTTCAATATCTCTGTGAACTCACACACATTGCAGGTTTCACCTGGACTATACACTGCTCTGCATCCTCTGTGTGGCTAATGCGACAGCACTGCCTCTGCATCAAGAAATGTCAGATACAATTTGTGTCTTTGGCTGAGGGTCTCACCTCTTTTTCCAGCCTTTCACTGCTGTGAATCTGGGCAGGGTTTCACACAACTGAGGCATGCAGATTTATCACTTTTCACCTACCTCCTGTCATGGGGCAGTTTGCTCTGCTGCACATAAGATGTCCCAGCTTCTGTTATCCAGGTCGTGTTATATGAGGTGAGCCCTTGCTTGCTGGGATGAGCTGTGAATAAAAGTAGGCAGCTGGTCTGAATCCCCACTTTCAAGTAATGCAGGTCGGAAGACGGGGATTTCTTTCCCCCTTCTTAACAGATTTTGGTTTTGGCTTCTTTGCAGAGGTCCTTCTTCGCTCAGTCAACCTTGGCAAGCACCTCACCAATGCCAGCTCATGAAATTCACTCTAGAAACCAAACGCTGGTGTCCTTGTTCCTGTGCAGAGTGTGGATTTGATCTGAAAGTCCATGCGATAGCTAAGCAAACACCTCACATCTGTTGCGGAGCAGATTTGTTTCTAGCAGCTGGTATAACCTTCCTCACGTGCTCCTTGCAAGCTGGAAAGTTCAGCACCATAAATCGTGGAGGAGCCACAAGTATTTGGGAGTTTCTCTGAAAGCAAAGCCGTGGTGGAATGGTTCAGTACTACTGGCATGGTACATCTCCCCAGTCACAGCCTTTTGGAAAAATCCTAAGAAAATAATTGTATCGTGATACTGTCTATCAGCTCTACCAGTTACTGTAACAGAAATTTGCAACTACCTACCAATATCATTGATTTGTTCAGGAGGAAATACTGAAAGATCTCTTGAAAGTAGACTAACCCAAACATGTCACACCATTGAAAGAAAAAGCTAGCATATTAGTCATATCAATTGTTTCTGCTGGGAAAACCACAGATGCAGGATTCCTGGCAAACAAGATAAATAATACAAGTAAGCTCTGATTTAAGACACAGCAAAGTTAAAGGCTTTCAGGACTCTGTCAGGCTTTGGATAAAGTCCTCGTGCTGCTACACACACACAGCAGGAGAATACTTGGAGTCCCTGCTGTGCACTGCCATTTACTGAGCCTGTCTTGTTCAGTCACTTACCACTGCCTTCCCTCTAGCCATGGAAAATTTTGACCCCATCAGTCTAAAGACCACATCATGATGTTTCACCACATCTTGGGTATAATATGCTCCCTCATTTATTATTTAGATTAAGGGCATCTAATTCCCTTGGAGCTAATGGGAGTTTGGCCTTGGTTTCTGTTAAAAAGGGACAAAACATCAGTGTTTCCTCACTTCTTTTTTTTTTTTTTCTTTTTTCCTGAAGACATCCATCCATCCATCTGTGTTTTATTTACTTTTAGTTTGCTTGGAGAGTTAGTTTGTTTCCAGGGAATGCTAAGCAGGAGAGTAATAGTCATTTACTAGCTCATTCTCACAAATACCATCACATCCATAGTCATACCAAGCAATACCACCACAGGACAATCATCCTAAATGTATGCAATTATGAAATCTGTTGCTGTTGATACTTGCATGGTATTTGTGATAATGAACTTAATCTGCACAGGGTTAATATCACCTTTCGCAACTCAGTTTTCTTGTACTTTGCAATGTCTGGTCTCCTGGTGTCCCCACTTCTACCCCATCTCCCTTCCCCCAAGGTAGGACAGTGCGCAGTGTGTGGCTGCTCATCAACACATGCAGTCCCAGGAAGGGGAAGGGGATTTTACTAGATTAAAATCTAGATTAAAAAACTGCAGCCCAGAGATTCAGGTTTGGGAGAAGCAAGCAGCGCTATGATGGGGCAGGAAAGTAACACTGCACAAATTTTTTGTTAAACCCAAACGGGCACCTGAAATAGCAGGCAAGTTTACAATATGATGAGAGAGAGTAGGAAAGTGGTCTCTGAAAGGCTTTGGGACATGTGAGAGGAGAGGGCTATTACAGCTGGGAAGGTAACTGGAAACTGGGACGAGATGCAGCAGGAGTGTGCCTGAATAAGATTATATAATTTTTTAAAAAGATGGATGTCTTTCATATAGAGGAATACAAGTCAGAAAAATCTCTCTGGACATCTGTATAGTATCACGTGGGAATTATTAACTAAAACTGCGAAAATGGGAATTGGCACAGAAATTATTAGGACATGAGGACATTCCTGGGGGGATGACAAAGGATTCTCCCACAAAGAAATTTAATTAAATGGGACAGTTTTCTCAGGAATGAGTCTAAGCGTCAATTCAGCACGATCACTGGCAGAGAAAATGGGAACATCCGGTAGTATTTATTGATGTAAAAAAGCTGGGGGCATTGTCAACGCAAAGACTAATGGTACCATACAGGTCAAACCCAATGACCTAGAGGGCCAGGTTAATGAAACAAAACCGAGTTTAATAATTTACAAAATCCAAGCTCGTGCACATGGGAACAAGTTACCCAAGCTTTTGCAATCATCATCAGTCCTGCCAGCTGAAAACAAGCGGGGAAGAAGACCTGTGTATACAGATCGCATCCCAGCCCTTGCCACTCAGCTTTCAAAGCCAAACCGGGCACAAAAGGGGAAAAGCCAAGCACAGGACAGTGCAGGAGAAGGATTTCCAAAAAGGACAGATAAAGGCTAGTGCTCACTGGACACGGACAGCCCTGGGGAGACCTCACAGGGTTGCTGTATACAGATTCCCTTGGCCATGTTCATGTTGAAGAGCTAGATTAAGTGAATGCCAAGCAGGCGCTGACCATGGGATTACTGGGAAGGCCATTTTAAACACCAGACTAGACTGGTGCCAAGTCTGGCTTTTCAACCAAAGGAAAGTGAAAGCTGAGAACAGACACGACTGTCCTTTGTAAATGCAGTAGAAGAGTAAAAAGCAGAGAGGGGGGAAAAAATGCAGCTTGAGCCAAGTACAAACCTCAATCCAAGTACAAAGCTCAAATTAGTATAAACTACCTTACTGTGGAAATCATAAGTCTGTTCACTGCTAGGGGAGCCCTATGCTGAAGCAGTCTCCAAATAGGTGTAGCAAGGACAGGATGTCTCCCTGTTTCCCGGACAGACCCGGGTAAGGGCTTGGACACAATTATACAATGGCTGTCGGTGAGAGGACTGACCTTCATGACCCAGGACATTTTTTCCATGCCCACTTGAGCTGAAGAGGAAGTGCCAAGTATTCATCAAAAGTTAGAAAGATATGGATGGCCTGTGCTTACAAAAGTGAAAATGGAAGAAGGAAAGACCATTAAAATGCAGGGAGGAAGCCCTGGGGGACTACAGCCATCTATAACCAGTAGTATTTGCTTGTGCAAGTCTAGGCACATATAGCTACAGCCATAATTAAACCCCACACTTGTTATCCGTTGATTTTAAGATTCCTATTAACTCAAAATTTCTAATAAAACAATTAAAAATCCTCTTTCTTTCCTCCTCTGTTAATGACATGGGAACAGAAGTGACCCTACCTGTGCCAGTTTGCATCATGGAGAGTGTGCATCCTCATTGTGCAGTGCAGAGCCTGCATGGTGGTACCGGGTCCCAGCATCACTTCCCTCCTGTAGGTAGCAAGCATCCCTCAGCACAGTTGTCTGCAGTTCAGCATCTCTTTGAGGATGAAACGGAGCATTATGCTACGTTGAATTTAAAAATATCCCTAAGGGTCTTGCATAAGGGAACAGAGAGTGAATACAAATTAACTGCAAAGGAAATAAATCCCAGAGAAAGTATAAAAGTGACAATACTGGATTTATTAAACTTGACCTTTTTATTTTTTTTTTTTTTTTCTTCAGTTTACAAAAATTTCAAAATTCCCCAGGAAAATGTAATGGGCCAGACTGCATTTGTTCCACTTGGATAACAAGCTTCTTGAAAACCCTACGAAATAGCACAGAACGCAGCTTTGGTTTCACAGGAAAACATCATCACTGGTTGATAAAGAAATCACTAAATAATCTGTGCCCAGTGCTTCAGTGTTTTGCTTAAAGTCTGCTTTGTCAAGGAGGAAGGGCAGGAGCAGAGCTGCCTGCCAGATTACTCATTGCTGGCAAGAGGACGGGAATCAGTGTTTGCAGATCTACAGTGTACTGAAAGGAGGTATTTACTGAACTGAAACAAAAGGTTAACTGCAAGGACTATAATTTTTTTTCAGAATATTTGTACAAAGTAGGTCTAGGTCTGAATCTGAAAAAAGTCATATATACAACGAGTTTCGGAGGTTTAGTAGCAGCAGATCAATTTGTGGACCTGGGCTGATTATGCACAAGTTTTAAACCCAAACTCAGTGTAATTGTGTAATTTCCTTGGCCAGATCTAACTATAAAGTAAGAATTGGGTATGATGGCAAAAATGCACAGAGAAATGCATATGCAAGTTCTTGGCTCTTCCGGTGTTATCAAGCCTTACTTTGGCAGAAATTACCTCCAGATAAAAGGTCAAGTTCCCGTATGCCACCCCTGCCCTGCTGGCTTCTGCGGTCCCACAGACAGGGAGCTTGCAGGGCCTGGAAGGACAGGCAGGGACCTACAGAGATGTGATGGGAATATCGCTGCTTGGCATAATGAAATGGCTTAACTGGGGAGCGGGCTATAGTGGGGGGTGAGGGAAGAATTCACTTGTTGCAAGCCCTTCTCACAAGGAGACACGCACTCTTTCCTATACCGGGGTGCTTATGGTGGGTAGGGAGTAGCTGCCGTGGCAGGCGCTGTGCAGGGGACCCCACCTCACACAGCAGCCCCACGCTGCCCTCCTTACCAACACCTTTCTGCTGAGAGGGAGCTGGGTTTTATCTGCCTTCTGGCGAGAAACAACGCGCCAGCCCTGCCGTGACAGACCATACAACAAACCCTAATCACCCACCGATGATTCATCACACGACGTACTGCCTATTCCAGACACCTTGGCATCCGTGCCAGCTATCAGGCAGCGAAGAGCAGGGATTTGTCAGCTATGACATCAAACAAAAAAAATGAGTGGAAGGTATCATCCAAAATAGTGAAGTTCTTTATTTCTTTGATTTCTTTTCTTTGTGCGGTCTCAGAAAGTACAAGGAGCAACAGTTGTTATCATTTGTTCATTGAAGTCCTATGGATCACTATTTAACGTGCACTCAGACTTAGACAAAAACAAACAAACAAACAAACAAAAACCTGTATTTTTAACTTATCATTTTCAGAATGGTTCTCATTTTGCTGTTTCTTTTTCCACCTTTTCTTTCTCTCTCCTTTCGCAGGAGAAAACAGAAATGTTTGGGGGAAGGATAGAGAGAAAGGGCAAAAGTAGAAAAAAGGCTTTGCCTACTGAAATTCAAAAGACAAACCAAAGCTGTATTTTTCATATGGCTGTTTCTTTGGAAGAATTGAACACCAGTGTTTCAAGAAAAGGACCAATTTCCACTGAGAAAAAGAGACTTTTTTTTTTTCCCCTTTCAAAAGTTTTAATTGGCTTCATCAAGTAATTCTCAAAGAGATAACCAAAGAGATATAAAAACATACACTTTGCCAGTTCATATTTACAGTGACTTCTCTCTAAAACTCATGTACCACTGTAAAACTGTGTAATGCAGTAGTGCCTGGGCCAGGATGGAAGTGAATGTTAGTGTGTACCTTATAACCAAGAGGAAAATATCACCTTCAATCTTTTTTGCGTTTACTCAAAAAATTTGCCTTGATTCTCTGTACTCCATGCACACCAAGAAGGGAGCCAAGAATGCAAGAATATTCTTTCTTCTCTCCAAAGAGCATATTTCCCCACTCAAAAAGAAAAAAAAAATCCCATCAGTCTGACAGACTTCCAGGAAACAGTGGGATTAATTTAGAGTTGCCAGGGTCCAAGCTCTGTTTCTTTAGGCATTGGCAAGAAAGGGACTATTTTGCATCCTTATTTACATAACTAATGAATATAAGAGACTGCTTAGAAACCTCTCATCAAGCATCATGAGACTCCCCTTTCTAAAAATAGATTCACCAAAATGTGGTACAATCATTTAGCTCTGTTTTATTGTGTGTTAATAGAGGAAATTATGACTTTACTTCACATTACACAGACATAATTTTTCCATGTTTTTGAAAGGTTTCAGGTTTTTTAAATGTACATTTTTATTTAATGTTAATGACCTACTTTTCCCCTTTCTACTCAAGAAGCCTTTTATCTGTTATTTCCTTATTAAAATCTTACTATGCTATTAAAGTATGTTGCATTTTCCCCGTTTTATTTCACTGAAAAGGAGTTATTAGATTATGGCAAAAATGGTTTGGCTTGGGGGAAATGAGACAGATCAAATGTAAAAGAGAAATTATATAGACAGGCACCAAGATGTTGTATGAAGTGAACCCAAATGTCACAGCTGCCATCGCAAAGTTCACTCTCTTGAAGGGATGAGCCAGCAGCCTCTGCTTTCTCTAGAAAATCCAGAAGGTGGTTCATATGCAAAGGACAGCATCCTGTCACCCCAAACACAATAACAATAACCAGTTTGCACCATATCATACCTGCTCAGTATAAGACTGGGCCCACCTAAGTATGATGCAAAAGCTGGGACAGAAAGAAGAAAGCTTTGTTGCTGTACCTGACTGCAGACCCAAACAGGGAGAGCAGGGCTGGGCTTGGGAGCAGCACTCCCTACCAAAGTGAGTTTGGTCTTGTAGGTAGCTGATGGGCAGAGAGGGGAGCAACTGGTTTTGGCTTCTGCCTGAGGGCAAACCAGTCCCTCCCAGGACACCTTGTTAGCTACTTTCTGGTTTACAGCTGCCCATGGTGACAACCCAACTCTCTTTCTACTGAAGTTTTAAATTAAAAGTGGTTCGAGCTGCCGGGAGAGGCACCTGGCTTTCCAGACAAATTACTAAAATAGTTTCTTCACATTAATTTTTCCCTTCCCCCTGAAGCCAGCAGGTGACATACAAAACAAAGAGCAAATTGTCGTTTCAAAGAGATTAGTAACTCCACTGGTCCATGTGGGCGCTGTGGCCGCCCCGGCAGGCGGGCTGTCCTCCTGCACCACACAGCCGGGGTGCTCTGCGGGAGCACCGCTTCCCCACCACAGATATCTCAGCACGCCTTGCATCAAAGGGAATGGGAACATCTTGACCCCCTCAGTGAAAGATCACCCTGTGGGATTTTGCTAGAGCAAATACAAATTAAGGTACTGGGTGGTGTGACTCAATTCTAGGAGAGGATGTCTGTGGTATGAAAGGGAAATCAGCGCATCGCTGCAGGATGCTACTCTCTATATGTTGGCACAGCATTCTGCTGAGAGCTGAAGGTAGTCCTGCCAACACGTTATAGCCACAAGAGAGCCTTTCCCACCTCATGGGAAATATGGACATCAGTGGCAGGAGGAGCACACAGTGTGGTCTCTGTCGCCGACCCCAGCCCTCTGCATCCAGCCCTGCTGCCGGCTCAGGGTGCCGTGCCAGTGCTTGTCAGTGAGTCTTCCCGTACCACAGCTCTGTGTCTGCCTGCTTCACCGCACGGGCTCGAGATGCAGCTCTGCGTGCTCAAATGCACAGGAGTGAAAGGAAAGGTGTTTAAAGAAAGTGTTAGACACAAGATTTGGCAGGAGATACATGAGCCCTTCCTCCCGGGTCTCTGTGCCACACACCCGCCCAAGCTGTGCTGCCTGTCTGCATTTTTTGTCAGGCGTACCTGCAGTCTCACCACTAAGGTTCTTTCTTTTCCTCTGCCAACTCTTTGCATGCTGTTAAATCAGGTTTCCTCCTTTCTCATCTTTTCTCTTCCAGAGTCGACGAGGCAGGTGAACCTAAGCAACCCAGCACTTTAGGTGTAACAATGAGAAACATAGCAGGCATGCACAAGAGCCGTGTGAACCTGCGTGCTTTTGCACAATGGGGAAGAGGCAGGTGGGGAACCCATTTCTCTCATGTTTTACTCTGCCATTCTAAGCAATTTGCTTCTAGGGCAATGGCCGGGTGGCCAGGAGCAGACCTGGTTCCCAGTTTTTGCTGTGTTTTGGCCCTTCTGGGTGTGGGATATGACCTTCGTGACAGTGCTGTGCCCATGTGGCTGGCCAGCGTCCAGAGCAAAGCTGGGGCTCAGCCTCTTGGCTGAGCGTGTGTCCAGTTGCACCCCCTGTGGGAACACATCCCCTGCCTGCCAGATTTTAGAAACATGTTTGATAGAAAGCCCCAGACTCCAACACTGCAGCAAGAGCAGGGATGAGACAGGACCTGACCAAGACATGTGACCCTCATAATTTTTGGCAAATACTGAAGTACAGAAAACCCTGTGCTATGCCTAGGAACTCATAAAAAATAAATCAACTTAGTCTTACTGTAAGTGTATTATAAACTTTGCACAAAAGGTTAATGGGAAAATTATTGAAACTTTGCAGATGTGTTGTCTTTGACTTGTCTGAGTGACAAAGGAAAGGGAGGACGAGGAACATCTAACACTATCTTACTACTTAAAAAAATGTTAAAGTAACATCCACAGTCAAGCATTTCAAAACAATGCATAATATTGTGTGGCAAGAACTTACAGTAATAATTAAATCACATTTTCTTTCAACACTGCTGGTATTGTAGCTGAGCTGAAAGTCAAATTCATGTCAGCAAATGATTTAATGAGCAACATTACATAGGTTGTGTAATG